GCCTCCCACCCCGCCGTGGCTGCTCGGCGGAGAGTCCGGGAAAGGGAAAGCAGTCAGCCCGCGCCGCGGAAGCCCGGGGCGCCCCTCCGTGGGGTCTGGGTGTGGGAGTGGGCTGCTGCCGCCAGGCTGACCCTGATCATGGTTGGGCAACTACATTCCTCCACGGCCACGTGGGTCCCTGTCGCTCCTACCCTTGGGGCTCATGCGTCACCTGAAGGAGCCATGGTTCGCAACTGGCAGTGTTGTCTGCCCGGGATTTCCTGGGGTCTCGGAGAAGCCGAGAGCCTGGAACCTTCCTCTTTCCGAGGTTAGATCCTAACTTTCCCAGAGGCTTTTCTGTGATTGCTGGTCAGTGGAGCGATGGCTGGGATATGATGAGTGAAGGAAACAGTGGATACGTAAGTGCGAGACATGCATGCCCACAGATTCGGCAGTCGAGTGAAAGCTTTAGGTAAATCGTGTGGACAGTAATTTCATATTCCTGAAGAACAGTAAATATTTACACGACGTACCTAACTCTTGTTCTAAGGGATTTTGTCCTCAGAAATAAACCTTTAGCAGATATATTAATAAGATAAAACTGAATAAGAAAACTGGAAGTCTAAAAACAAAGCTGGCTGATTTAAAAAACATTAGGATCCAAACTATACTTTTTTTTAGAGAGAGAAGTTTTTGCTATAGGGTGCATGTGCTTCCCCAAGAGACAGAGTAAAAGAGAGACAGAAAGTGAAAAATCACCCCGCAGGGCGATGGCCACACCACAATTCTCTATCTGTTCTCCTCTTGAGACTTTGGCCACATGTGCACATGTACCCGACGTGAGTTTCAAGCTGCTGGGTCCAGAACTCCACCAGCAGTCCCTATGCGGGAGTCCAGCGACATAACCCTGATGGCATCTCCTGGTCCTTCAAACTGTGTTCTTAACATTAAAGCAATGCTGTCCAGACCACAGTAATTTAATGATTTAGCCTTTATCTTGGGCTTCGTTGTGTGTGTGTGTGTGTGTGTGTGTGTGTGTGTGTGTGTGTGATTAAGGACATAGGCCAAATCTGTGGGTATGTGGAAGTCTTAATGGAGGCTATGACCCTTTAGAAATTGGTTTCTGAGGCCCGACACGTGTGCATACATGCCCAAGACCCCGAGAGAAGAATGGAGGAAAAGGGATTGCTACTTGGCTATCCCCCGGGGGTTGACTTCCCATTTCCCGTCTTTCTGTCTCTGTCTCTCCAGCGAGCATATGTACCCCATAGCAAAAATCTTTCTCAAAAAGGAAAAAAAAAAAAAAAGAAAAAGAAAAAAAGAAATTGTTTTCTGGTGGCCAGACTAATGGTTAAGGGAGTCAGGTCTCACATGGCCCACCGAAGTTTGAATCCGGGCACACTGGCTTGAAAAATGCACCGCATGCGCTCCAAGTCCCAGCGCGATGGAGGAACGGAGAAGGGACTGTGTGCGCCGTTGAGGGGTGCTTTCTCTGTCTCTCTGCCTAGTGCATATTGCCCTTTGACAAATAAAACAAAAACAATTGTCTCTCTTTTTAGCAGATATAAGCTGTTGCTCGTCATTTCTCACTTTTAAGAAAGAGGCTTTACAAGGAAAGAAAAACCTGAATCGGCCTTGTGTTCTTATCTCTGAGACCATGAATAACTGAAAGCTTCCTGCCCTTCATATCACAGGGAAAGCCTTTGGCTACGGAGTCCCTATCAGCAGGGCGAAGGTGGGGAACCCCCAGTAGCTACTTCCTCCTCTCCATTTCCTGTACACTGGCCTCGCTTTTTCAACTCCACATCAGATTACATGGCAAAATGCACAAAATACGGACATTCGCAGGCTGGACGGGCCCTCATTTCACAGATGAGAAAACTGAGTCCGAGAAAGTCAGGCCACGTCGCTCCTGAGAGGCAGAGCTGGGGACCAGCAGGTGACCTGAACTTCCATCTGAAAGCCTGGGGTGGGCTGGGGGACAGTTCACACCGGCGAGGCCCAGGAACCCCCAGACACACGTGTTCTGGAGTCCCCCAAGTCTCTTCGGAGGACACAGGGAGAATCCTGTTTCTTTGCTTCAAGAATGATTAGTTTAGTGGAAACCCATGTTGGTTACAAACGACAAAATAAAGCCGAGTCCAGACCCACAGAGCTGAGGTTCACCCCATCACAGGGTGCGTGGACGTGCGTGGATGTCCACAGACATCTTCCATGTGTGAGGCGGTGCTGTTGGCACTGCTCCTGGCGGTCGTTTGGAAGAGGAAATGGAGAGACTGAGCACCCTGTGGATGAAGGAGGCAGATACGCAGGCCCGGGTCAGTGTGACAGCTGGCTGCTTGCTGTCCTCTTTGGCGGGCACAGCGGGTTTTCAATAGCCGTCCTCCCCTAAGCTGATATGCATTGGCCAACCTGAGGCTTCGGCCCCAGAGGCACCATGCCGGCACCTTCGGTTCCACACGCCAACGCAGCAGGGATTGGCTGGTCTTTGTCTCACCGCGTTCTGGTGATGCTCTGGCTCTGGGATCCCAGAGAAACAGCATCCTGGTGCCGGGTCCAGTGGAGCGGACTGAGAGCCAGGCTGCCGGGCTCTGCCGCCGCCCAGCTGCTGCCCTTCTGCATTCCAGCTCTAACCTGGGACACGGGTGTGGCGCTGAGCAGCACGCCAGGGCTACGTGAAGGTGAAGGGGGTCACCCTGCGCAGTGTCCTGCCACAAATATGGTGGGGCTTCAAAAAGTATATGAAAAAGTGGAGTTAAAGCACAGATTCATTTTGGTGCCAAAAAATATTGCAATCCATGCATAGTTTGTTTTTTTTTTCCACAATATGCATTTTTCAAGGAGAGAAGAATGGGAATTTGACACGTTTAGGGTTTTCGTTTTGAGGGTCTCTTCACTCCTTAGACAGAACTCGCCCCCTTCTAAATGGAGCACAGAGCAGAAGCCTCGGCCTCACTGGACTGCTCCTTTCCTGCCAGTCAACAGTCAACACAGCAGCCATGGAATGTGCCCACGTGACGTGACGCCGCTGCTGGAATGTCAAGGACTTGTCCCCTTTGGCTTCCTCCCACTGTAACTCGGAGTGTCACCAATGTGCCAAAGACCCAGGTTCCTCCCGTGGAGGGGAGACTCATCTTCTTCGCCCTCTTCCTCAGTGTGGATTTGGTTGGTTCACACTTAAGAAGCTGTTAAAGGCGAAAAGTCAAGACATCCACTCTGCCGCTGCGAAGGCCTCTGAGGGTCTTCTCAAAGCAGAACAGAGAGTCACCACAGGGGCCTGAGAGGGAGGAGGCTGACCGGTGGAGACAGTGAAATCGCTGTTAGTTCTTTATAGCTTCTCTGAATACTCTGTTCCCTTTGAATCCTGGTGGCTGGATGCTCTCGGGGATTAGGGGTGTAGTTAGTGAGAATGGTGGTCGCCTCAGTCGAGGCCCTGCTGCACGCGGAGCAGCTAGTGCATCTCGACGCTGCATGTGCCGGCTAACGAGCACGCTTGTCTCCCTCCTGCTGTAGGGCAGGGCAGGGCAGGGCAGGAAGAGGGAAGCTGACGGGGGACCCCGGGCAGTGAGAGGAGCTTTAAAAATCTAGCTCTTGGCAGGAGCAGAGGGCATAATGGTTGCATTGCTCTAGTCCCACATGGTCGACTGCAGTTCAAGTCCTGGAGCCGGCGGCTTAAACTAATACCTGGCATGGATGTGTACGTGCATGCACAAAGTCCGAAGAGAAGAATATAGGAGAAGGGGTTGCAGCGTGGCCATCCCCCTGGGGGGTGATTTCTCACTTTCTCTCTCTCTGTTTCTCTCTGTCTCTCCAGAGAGCTCATGTGCCCTACAGCAAAAATCTCTCTCAAAAACAAAAAGATCTAGCTGTTCTGGGGCTAGCAGGTGATGTAGAGGTTAAGGCACTGCACTCCCACTGCGGTTCGAGTCTCAGACCTGGTGGCTTGCTTTCTCACTTTCTGCCTCTCTCTCTGGTGAGTGCAAGTGCCCTATAGCAAATTAAGAAATAATAACAATAATTAATAAAATAAAATAAATAATTCTTTTAAATAATCGAACCACTTGAGTAACGAGGTAAAGGACTTCAAAGATGCCAAAATTGTGGTTGCCATGAAGTGGTGAAGGGTCTAAAGTTTGGATGTGTTTGAACTTAGTACAAAAAAATTTCTTTTTTTGTTGTTAGAGGTTTTTGCTTTAGGGCACGTAAGCTCACTGGGGAGATAAAGAGATAGAGACAGTGGGACAAAAAATAAGAAATCATCCCCTGGGGGTAGGGATGTCCACACCTCCTCTCTCCTCTATTCTCCTCCTGGGATCTTGGCATGCATGCACATGAACCAGGTATGAGTTTCAAGCCAGTAGGTCCGGGACTTGAACCATGGTCAGCCATGAGGGAGTCCAATGATGTAACTACTATGTCATTTGCTGGCTGTTTTTTTGTTCTTCAGGGTTTTTTTTTTTCCCTTTGGTTTTTAATTGCCAGAGGGTGTGTGTGCTTGCCAGAGAGAGAGCACAGAGCGAGGTATAAAGCACCTCTTAAAATGATGTAACTACTTTGTCATTTGCTGGCTTTTTTTTTGTTCTTCAGGTTTTTTTTTTTTCCCTTTGGTTTTTAATTGCCAGAGGGTGTGTGTGCTTGCCAGAGAGAGAGCACAGAGCGAGGTATAAAGCACCTCTTAATGAGATCTGGTTGTAATCCCTTCTCCTCCATCTCTCCATCCTGTTGGGATCTTGGGCACACGCATGCACACACCAGGCATGAGTTTAAAGCCACCGGGTCCAGGACTTGAACCGAATTCGGCAATGTAACTGCTATGCCAGCTGCTGGCCCTGGAGTGTTTCTCATGTCACTGGCACCAGGACTCAAACCATGGGCAACCATGTGGGATCTGACTCCTTTAACCACTAGGCTATAGGGCCAGCCCAGAGAAACAAGATATTTGACAGGACAGGACGTGCATAGATGGTGAAATTATTGAACCATCGTAAGCACCAAATTATTAGTCAATTTCTTAGACCGTAGAAGATCTTGACGAGTAGGAGTAAAGTTTTGTATTTCCTGTTACATTGAAGCAAAAGTCTTTTTGTTGCAGACTGTAGACTGTATTAATATAGGCACATAATTTCCTTCGGATTATAAAAGTATGAAGCTTTTCTTAAAAAAAATCAACCAATAGGAATGTGTAGAGCAGGAAAAAACCTCAGTGGATTTGCTGCCATTTATAGAAGCTCTATGAAACTACCATGCATGTGCAAATCCACAGTTGCTTTTTTGTTGTTTTTTAAAGAATTATTTTATTTAACTTTATTTTTTAAAATTTGACCACAGAGGGACAGAGTGAAAGAGAGAGAAGGAGGGAATATGAGAAAGCAAGCCGCCAGGTCTGGGACTCAAACCATGGTTGGCCATATGGGAGTCCAGTGCCCTTAACCACCAGCTACCACCTGTCAGTCCTCCCCAGTTGCTTCTTGAAAGAGCTTCCCAATAAATGTATAAATCAAGGATCCTTTGTCATGGACCTAGTGACCTTTTCATTCCCCCAGTCCCTCTGGTCTGTAAATTTAGATTCTGTTAAATTAGATTATCTGGAAAGTGTACACCTTGACCTGGTGACCTTCCAGAATGTTCTCACCTCTACCTGTGCTGTTTAGAAGGTTTGGAAATCACACTGTCCTTGGGTGACAATAAAAGTGGATGACTGTGTTGATTCAGTGCTGCTTGTAAGGGGAACTACAAAAATCGCATCGTGGTCTGATTTTTCTTTTTCCTTCCTTGAGCATGGCTCTGGTGTGCTTTGGTTTGGGGTGAGTAACTCGGTGAAATCTCAAAAGTAATATTTTCTTTTGAAACAGGTTGTTTGGAGAGAGCTGTTTAATGTTTCCCTGTGGCCTTTTTTAAACTTTCTTTTTCAGCCATAGGCGTGGGTTTGTCAGGCTCTGAGGTAATAACATGTGTGCTCAGTTGGGAGAAGGCCAGCCTCTGTCGGTCTCAGGCCGACCTGCAATTGACCTGTAGAAAGTCAGGGTTTGTTTTGTTTTTCTGATAAAGTATCTTTGGAAATTATGGGACAGAGGTTACACGCATTCTTAACAAAGTGTGCTTGGGCCTTCCTCCGTTCTCCCTCTGAAATGAAAATGATACTCCATTTCCTCCTTCATTTACAAGCGTGTCCTTACCCAGCGTCTACACCTGGTACGGTCTGATGTGGGGCTCTTGCTCTTTGCAGGTCCTGTGAACGTGCCAGGGCCCAGGAGCCACTTTGCTGAGTGGGCGTCCGGTCAGTGCGGACTGCGGCGCTGCCCGAGCCTCCAGGAAGGCCTGTGGGCCCACCCCTGCGTGGCCCGTGGGGTGCACATGCAAGCCATTTTCGGGAACTTCGGCCACAGGTGAATAAGACCGCATACCTGCAAAGATGCTGAAGCAGATCCTGTCGGAGATGTACATAGACCCGGACCTCCTGGCAGAGCTCAGCGAAGAGCAGAAACAGATCCTGTTCTTCAAGATGAGGGAGGAACAGATCCGACGATGGAAAGAAAGAGAAGCAGCGATGGAAAAGGAGGAGTCCGTGCCAGTGAAATCCAGGCCGAGGAAAGGTAAGCCTAGCCGCTGTCTTTCGTGAGCATGTCGGCAGCTGCGTCCTGGCCCGTCTGGACGGTTTCACGCTGGCCACAGCAACCCGGTGTGAGTTCCATTTGGGTGGGTGAATTATGTATGTTACTGAGATTCTAATTCCACAACTTGAAGTTCACATGCAGACACATGCACTCGTGGGCACACGCACACACACGCACACACACACGCAGAGCTTTTCCCATGGAGTTGTGCAGCCGTAAGCAGATCCGTTACTTGAAGGCAGATTGACCTTCAGGGGGAGTGAAAAGTCACCGGTGGGTTGGACTTGCAGGCTCCAGGGGGTTCTCTCCTCTCATTCTGGGCCACTACCAGAAGACAGTCCCTCTCTCAGCATCTTTATGACGATCGTGTTTGCATTTCATTTCATTTTTTTATGTTTAAGTTTGTAGTTGCATAGGAAGTGTTTTATTTTTTTTTCTTTTTACTTATTTATATTTTTATTCACACATTGAATCGCTATACCTCATTTAGATTGTGAAGAGACTTTACCCAGCATTATTACACCTCAGTCTGCGTTTTAAAAACTTTACTTTGAAATATTTTTTTTTTTAGAGAACCACCCCCGCTTTAAAATGTAAGAGACTGCTCTATGGAGAAAAACCATGATGCCATTTGCTTAGTGTGAGGAGGGTTTTCAGATGTGCTTTTCCTTGCTGCAAGGACTCAGTGCTGGCGTGAGCGTGTTATCTGAGACCGTGGCAAGGAATTCTGTGTACACTGAGACACAGAAAAGCACACCCTCGCTGCCCCGTCCGCTGCCCCCTCACGGTCCACACACGCTCTGTCATGGAGGAATACCTGAGTAGTTAAACGCACACACAGAGCTTTCAAGGGCATTGGCAGACGCATTCAAAACCAATTTCTCCTCATTTTTCATTAAGCCAGGAAAACTCAAATGGTGTAAAATCATTCAAGGTTTCTAAGGTTGGGAAAATGAATCTCCATTTCATGCTTGGTGTATATACGGATTCAAAAAGAGAGTCAGCTGAGTGAGCGCCACCTGATACTGTCTGCTATTTAAACTTTTATTTTTCAGGGAGGCCTTTCTAGAGATAAGGACATAAATGAGTACCTCACTTATTATTATTGTTATCAGGACCAGCCAGGTATTGCGTCCCTGCCGTTGCAGACATTGGGAAACACTCTTACACACGTCTTGTCTAATCTTCACACAGCCTTTGCCAAGTTGGTATTCACTGTCCTGTCTCCCAGAGGAAGAAACTCAGACTCGGCAAAGCTGAGTGATATGCAGAAGGTCACCCACTGACGGGTGCCCAGAACTGGTCTGCTGGATTTCGTGTTCCCCAGCACTGTCCAGAACAGACGTGTCCGTCCATGAGGAACACGCCCACAGGGTAGCGTAACTCTTTGGTCTTTCTGGGCTGGACTATAAGTCTCCTTGCATTCTTTTTCTTTGAAAGATTATTTATTTCCTCCATGAGAAAAAGACAGTGAGAAAGCATCCCCAACAGGGCCCTCCACCACAATGTGCCCCCGGCCTCACCCCGCTGGGATCACAGTACGTGTGCCTGCCATGCGAGGAGACCTTGGGACACCAACCTGGGACCCTCCCCTATGGGCTCAGCTTTGCAGAGAGGTGCCTAACATTTTATGTACAAGTGCACAATGTCTACGACGCCCTGAAGGCACATGCAGGCTCCCGAGGTCACAGATCCCAGGCTAAGCTTAAGGTCAGTCTGATCTCCCCGGAGCAGCTCTTCTCTCTGTGAAGGTCCACCCCCTTATGCCCGGGCCTCTCCCTCCATATTGCCACACCAGACCTGAATTTCAGCCTTGGCATCTGTTATCTGGTGAGCATCTCTGAGGATGGGGGGGGGCGGGGGAGCTACGGTATAGGATTTCACTGAATTGTCGCAAGAATTAGTGAGCTAAATGTTGTCCCCCTTCTTCCTTCAAATAAGAAAACAAACTTAGAGACAGACTCTGTCTGCACCAGTGGTGACACTCAGGAGATAAACTCAAGTCCAACCCAGGGCTCCTGACCCTTCTCTGCTAGCATCTGTCCCCAAACTCTGAGCCTTGAAGTTCAACTGGGCGTGGTCTCACCATTCATGGTAAGCACCATGCTGGGCAATAATGGAGCTACCCCCGTGGATTCCACCGGTCTCCTCAGGTCTGGTCCAAGCTCCCTCTTACCTGTAGCACCACCCCCTTCCCAGGACCAGAGTGCAGTGCGGGTTTCCCAGCTTCCTTCCTGTCCTTTCATCTCTAAAATAAGCACCATAGCTGAGTAACACATATAAAATTGACATCGGCGCTAGTAAGTCCAGGATTGCCACCCAGGTTAACAAATCCAGCAAACAACAGGCCACTTTACACAATACAACACATTTTTGTGAGCATAAACTTTCAGGTACTCTGAAGACAGCTGCACAGGCAGGATGGTTATGGGCAGGTGGACTGTTTTCGTAACCAGGTCAAAGGGCCAGCCCTCTGGCCTGATGGTTAAGACAGCCAGATCACACATGGCCCCAGCAGCTTGAAAAATACTTCATGCAGGGCTGGCAGGTGGCATGGTGGTTAGGGCGCTGGACTCCCACATGGCTGTCTATGGTTTGAGTCTTGGACCTTGTAGCTTGCTTTCTTGCTTTCCCTTTCTCTTTCTCTCTCTCTCTGGCTTAAAAAAAGTAATGATGGTGATAAATAAAATTAAATAAAGAAATCTTTAAAAAAGAAGAAAAGGAAACACACTTCATGTACTTGTGTGTGTGCGCACACGCATGTGCCCAAATATTGGCAGAGTGGTGAAATGGAGGAGAAGGAATTGTGGCATGACCGTGGCTCATGGGAGGAGGTATTTCCTCTCTCTCCCTGTCTCTCCCTGTCTCTCTCTGGCAAGTGCATTTACCCTCTGGCAAATAAAAAACGAAGGAAGGAAGGAAGGAAGGAAGGGAGGGAGGGAGGGAGGGAGGGGCCAGAACGTGAAGTGTACGGTGCACATCGCTATGTCCGGTGAGTGTGTTCATAACCCAGTTTCATAACTGCTAAGACACCATGATGGACACCCTCAGTCTTTTGACGGAGGGATTGAAACCCATGGTGACAACATAGGCATCACCCGAAGAGCCACAATCTCTGGAAACTCTCACAAATACAGATGTACCGGAAGAATCTCTCTTCATTTACTGAAACAGTTGCACATTTTGACGTGTACCCACAATGCTTACACAGAGCCACATGTACAAAAAAAAAGCCACACACACACACACACACACACACACACACACACACATACTGAATACGAACTCAGAGCGAGCAGGTGGTGTGTTGCTTAAGGCACTGGATCCCATGTGGTGACTGCGGTTTGAGTCCCAGACTTGGTAGCTTGGGATTCACTACGGCCGCGTGTGTGTGCATGCCCCAGATCCCCAGAGGAGAGTGGAGGAGGAGGGACTGCTGCGTGGCTGACCTCCCAGAGGGTGATTTCTCTCTCTCCATCTCTGTTGCTCTCTGTCTCTCTTTGGCAAGTGCATGGGCCCTGTGACAAAAACCTAAACAAATACATACCATAAAATGGAAAGAAATCTTTCTATGCTCTCGAACTGCTCTTCCTGCCCCTGAGTTCTGCAGAGCAGCCTGGGAGAGTATGGAGAAGCAGGGAGCGTTTACCGAACAGACGACCCCTCGGCCCCTGGCACCCTGGGCACCTTCCTCCTGCTGTGAGGCAAAGACTGGTCAAGTCTGGCAGAGCCTGAGGGAAGGCTGAGAGGAGGATGTGATGAAGTGCTGGAGCTGCCCCACCCTGGGGAGGGTGGTCAGGGAAGCTATGAGGTGTGACCAGAGTTAATGAGCTGTGGCTATTAATACGTAGTAGCCACCTTCCCTGTTCCCCACCTGTGAAGAGTGCCCTGATGGTCAGTCTCCTGAACAATACATCCGGGTCCTGGCGTGGAGAAGCCGCAGGCCTGTGTTCCTCTCCCGAGTATCTCTCTTGGAGGGTCATTATCTGTAGGAGTGCCTGCTGCACCGAAGGGGAGAAAGTGCCAGAAGGAAGGACCAGTTGAGCCAGCCTGTGACCTGTAGTTAAGGGGACTGGATTCCACACGGTGACCTACTGGTTCGAGTCCTGGACACAGTAGCTTAAAAACCACACAGGGTGCACGTGTGCACGCCCAGAGGAGGGCGAGATGAGGAGAAGGGATTGCAGCATGACCGTGTCTTGGGGGCATATAATCCACTTTCCTGTTTTCACTCTCAGTTTCTCTGTCTCTCTCCAGTGAGCATACATCCCCTCTGGCAAAATTTAAAAAAGAAAAGAAAGGACAAGTTTGGCCTGAGCTACTTGTTTCTGTAGTGGAAACGGCACAGCGTAGGTCACCAGGACGTGGGACAGGAAACACTTGAACTGGAAATTGTCCGTGTGGGTGTCTTACCCACAGAGCATGGCCGAGCAGAAGTTCCTGCTGGTGCCCGCGTGTCACATGGTCAACCCCACCAGCTAGTTTGGGATCTTAGCTAGAACCCACGTTGGTCCACAGCAGGGGGTCTGCTCCTTTAGCGTTAGGTCCACACCTCTTTGCCTGTCCTAGGGACACTCCACCCTCCCCTGGTCGCAGGGAGCATGACCCCGTGGCCGCATTTCAGGGAACTAGAATGTAATCTAACCCCTGAGACCGATTGTAAACAAGGGTTATTTAAGTAGCTTCGCCAGGTATCAGACTACCTGGGAGTATTATCTTCTCAGGAGCTGGTGTGAATCTCTGAGCAGCCATGTGGGTAAGTAAGGGGACAGCGAGGACGGAGTTAACCTCTGCTGACCTCCCTTAAGTCTTTCCCGTGGCTCATCCCCATGATCCGGTGGAGTGGGCGTTAGCATTCCCATCTTACAGATGACGAAGTGGCGTCTGAACGAGATTCAGTCATTTGTCCAAGTCGTGGGAGAGCGAGGGCTTGAACATAGCCGGTCTAATTCTAAAATGCATGCTTATTATTTTATTTTAAAATTTGTGTTATTGTTAGTTTTTTGCTGTAGGGCATGTAAGCTCACCAGACAGAAACAGAGAGAGAAAGGGAAAGTGAGAAGTACCTCCAGGGAATGGCCATGCCGCAGCCCCTTCTCCATTCTCCTCTTGGGAGTTTGGACATGCACGCACATGAGCCCAGCATGTTTTTCCAGCCACTAGGCGGGGACTGTAACTGCAGTCAGCCGCGTGGGACCCAGCGCCTTTCCCTCCATGCCACCTACTGCCTCAACTTCTTATTTTTTTAATTAACGGGTTTTTTTTTTAAGAATTTATTTATTTATTTCATCCATGAGTGAGAGAGACAGGGAGAGACAGAGACAGAGGGCTGACACCTCTAGCAGAATCCTGACACTGTGATCCATCCCCAGCCAGCCCCAGATTGGGGCACACACAGGCCTGGGTCTTCAGCGAGTCTCTGGACAGGAATTCAAAGCCTCCCCACGTGCGCCAGCCTCACAGAGCCTCGCGTTTTACTGCGGCATCTCTGTCGAAGCCCTGGCACGCATGTTTTAGCCACCGGAGGAAGCCCGTGAAGACAGGAAGCACCAGAACTGCAGCCAGTTCTGCTGGGGCAGGCGTCAGCTCTGAGCTGCAGGCAGATTCCCAGCCCTCGGAGGTCCTGGTCCAGTGCTAGTTTTGCTCCCAGAACAGGTGACCCACACAGTGAACGCTCTCCTCCCATCTCAGCTTCTCCGGGGACAAAATGTGCACGTGCAAAACCACACGCATGAATATATATATCTTTTAAGACTTTTGGCATAGGGCGTGTGCACTCACCAGAGAAAGGCAGAGATGGAAGTGAGAAATCATCCCACCGTGGGTAATGGTCAGTCCATTCTCCTCTTGGGATTTTGGGCACACATACATGCCCACCATGATTTTTAAGCTGCGAGGTCTAGGACTTGAACCACAGTCAACCGTATGGGAGTCCCACACCCTTACTTCCATGCCACCTGCTGGCCCCACACCCACGATATTTTTAACAATGATTGCTATCAGTGGCTGCTCACTGCCTCCCATCACTGCTGCCTGTGAATGCCACTCGCTCCTGAGGGCTAGAAGAGCTTTGCCTCACTTACTATGTTTTCTTAACACCCCTAAATACTTTCGGAATGGGAAACAGAAACCTAGTGCATGGCTAGAAGTGTTTGTTCAATCTGAATTCTGCTTTGTTTGCAGAGAATGGCAAATCTGTCCACTGGAAACTAGGAGCTGATAAGGAAGTCTGGGTCTGGGTGATGGGTGAGCACCACCTCGACAAACCCTACGATGTGCTCTGTGATGAAATTCTTGCCGAGAGGGCCCAGCTGAAAGCAGAACAGGAAGCAAAGGAGCTCAGGTATGAGATCTGCAAACCAGCGAGAGACTGAGCCAACTTACAAACACTCCGAGCTCTTCACAGTAGCCAGGCTATGACTCAACCACAGTGTCCATCAACAGATGAGTGTGTGTGGAAGATGGGATGTGTGCACACACACATGTACGCACACACATATACACACAATGGAACACTACTCAGCCATGAAAAAGCATGAAATCTTGACCTTTGACATGGAATGGGTCTGCATGGAGGACATGGTGTTAAATGAAACAATGCAGGCACAGGAAGGGAAATACCATGCGTTCTCCCTTATAGGAGGGAACCCAGAAAAGAAAAGGACCTCGTAGAAGTAAAAAGATGAAAATGACTAGAGGCTGAGAAGGATGAGGGCTGAGGAAGCAGAGGGATGGGGAATAATGGAAACACAATTATGTCTCTATAAAAGGAACCATCTCAGGTCACCAGGTGGTGTGGTTAAGGCACTGGACCCCACATGACTGACTTTATGGTTAGAGTCCTGGACCCATCGGCCTGAAAATCACACCAGGCGTGTGTGCACGTGTGCCCAAAATCCCAAAAAGAGAATGGAGGCGAAGGGACTTCAGCGTGGCCATCCCCCTGTGGGAGATTTCTCACCTTCCCTCTCTCTCCGTCTCTCTCCAGTGAATGCATGCACCCTATGGCAAAAATCATGAACTTTTTGAAGTCCCCTGGCACTACTGGTTTTTCGCACAATTTGAGTGTAAGGCCTCTGGCTTAGAAATGCTATCCATACTGAAGAATATTTTTTATAATTTTGCTTTTGTTCCTCTACAGAAAAACTGAGGTTGAGGAGTTCACCAACAGCTTGACAATAAAATCACAGTACTGTGACAGACACCCCGATACCTGGGTGACCGGGAACACCGGAAGGAAAGTGGCAGAAGAGTCAGGGCGAGAATCCAGACCAGCAGTGGCCCTTGACGAAGAGAAGAGCCATGTGAGTCCTTCACACCCCCCACCCGTAAAGGTGTAGGGTTTCCTCACGGGGGAGATCAAGAAAAGGGAGCCCTGAGAGGGTGGGGCAGACCAGCAAGAACACCTCCCAACTCTGTGGTCCTGCGGTTTGCTTTGTTCTGGGGAATCTGGCTTACCTCTTGCTTCCTGAAAGAGATAAAGCACCCCCTTTTCATGAGACTGAAGGTATGAAGAGAGATCTCAAAGGATAACAGTTGGCATTAAAAAAGTCTCTTTCTTCCATGAGAGAGAGACAGAAAGAGACAAGGACCCACAACAAGGTCTCCATGCCAGAATCCACCCCAGCCTCGGCCAGTCCAGATCTTGGCCGTGTGTGTGTGTGCCCGGGCGTGTTCAGGAAGACCTGGGGACATGAACTGGGATGTTCCCATGTGGGTCCAGCACCAGAGAGCATTGTGCTGCTGCTGTGTCCCTGTGACTGCCCAGAACTTGGTCTTTGGAGCTATTTGCAGGGGTCCCCCCACCCTGTTTTGTTTTCTACAAAATAGAGTCAAACTTCTTTGGTTAACGTTTGAGTTTTCTGGGCCACACGGTCTCTGTCACAACTCTGCACAAACGCTGGCCGTGTTCCAATACATTACTTACAGAGGGCCTGCCTACTCTTGATCCAGATTACACTCTATCAAGCTTTCCCCTCCTGGTTGCATAGACTCTCCCCACGATTGTGGGGACAGTGATGTCCCCAGCACAGTGGAATTTTGTACTCAGAACCGCTATGAATTCTGTTACGGTTCAGGTGGTTTAATGAGCTCATATGTAATTTGCAGGTTGAATTATAGTTTGGAGGAACAATATAACTTTATTACGAAGGACCTTATTCCACCAGGAATTTAATGACACCGAGAATTAACGGGGGAGTGGCAGCTGTTTGACTTGCGTTCATGTCCCAGCCCTTCGGCCCTGGCGGCGTGCACTCTTGACCTGTTAGACGCTGTCACGTGGGATATGGTTCTCTGTCATGCCACCCTCACACACTGGGAAATACCACAATAATGAATAGGGGTCAAGGGCTCTTCCGTGGCAGAGCCGCTGCTGAGTGTCTCATTGAATCCTTACAATAGCCTCATGAACTAGAGCTTCATCTGTCCACTTACAGGGGCAGAAAGTGAGGCCACATAAGGTCAAGCAGCTGCCCAAGATCTTATGCAAAACCAGGGCCCCAGGGCCTGCAGGCCACTCCTTAACCACCGACTATTACCTCGTGCACTTGGCTCCCTCACTGATATGAGCAACGTGACGAGGCTTTACAAAGGGCTCTGAGGCTCAAAATATTCACGGGTACAAAATTCTAAAGTTTGGTTTACATGCTGAGGTCTGCTCTGGGCGCTTTCCTGACATCCGAGTGGCCACCATGCTTCCCCAGGCCTGCTTTGCACTCAACACGTTT